TAAGGAGATATTTGAATTATTTATTAATAAATTAATGTTTTCTGAGTCCTTATCGCAAAGATGATGACAATCCTGACTCGCCATCTCCTCATTGGATGCACCTTTAGAAAGAAATGCATCTTTACGGATTACATAATGAAAGAGTTTTTGTTTTGGATTTAAATTATTTCATTTTGTAGTCATTTAAAGCTTTCTATAGATATATTCATCATGTCTGTAAGGAAAATATTTGCTGAGTTTCGGTTCATTTTTCTCCTCCTGTTCAAGACCGAGACGGCAGAAAGCGCACCCTATTTGTTTTCTTTATTTTACAAAAGCACAGTGTTTCCTTGATATTGTGAGTGCACACAAATAAAAGTAGACCCTTTACAGTTCCGAACAATGTATTATTCTTACCTTTATGAGAAAAAATTACGGCGTATTTTAATTTGTTTTCACTGATGTCCTGAACCGCGCTTCAGCTTCCACTCTCCGCACAAATGATTGGATATGTGCTTAATAGCGCACATTTATCAAGGTTAAATGTTTAAACTAACATTGTGATATGCTTTAAGTATTTTATATCTATTTTATTTTCTGCAAGTCGTAATTACAGCACCGTATGACGTCTCATATGATGCTCATAAGTTTGTTCATATTGCGTTAGTATCTGATAACACCAAATCAGTAGCTAAAAGAATAAAAATAGCACTATGAATGATCTCCATGATATAGCCTGTTTTTGCACTTCATGTTTTTCTCTGCTTGAGAATTTCTGTCCAATGAATGGATGACCTTAGCACACGTATGGTTTTGTTTAGGGGTGCTCCGATTGATCGGCTACCGATCACTATCGGCCGATAATCACGTTGGGATGTTTGATCGGCGGTCTCTAAAAAGGCAGATCTAAAAAAAAACGATCTCAAGCTGATGACGCGACTGCTGTGAGAGGTTTGGCATGACATACAGCGGCACCGTCTCAGTCTCTGTCCGGCGCAGGTGAAATAATTATAATGCTGAAGGTGAGGTACTCACCTTCATATTTCTTCATTAAATAACTTATAAAGTCATTTGAAAACCTTGTGCGAGGCGTAATTTCACAAAAAGCGTGAGTGAATCACCGTGCGCGCTCTCTCTCTTTCTCTCTCAAAATACGCAAATGGCTTCAAATCACCACACATCGCGTCTGACTATAAGAGAGCTGCACGCTGCACAGTTGACACAGGAATTGTCACTTGCACAATCGAGGCAGTGTCACATCGTCACTAAAGTTTATATATTGCATTACTTTTTAATTCTTCTGTGTTTAACCAGTCAGCGCTCGCGCGCTCTCCTGAAGACTGCACACACATAATGGCAGGTTCAAATTACTCCGTTTGGAGTGCATACGTGGTGCGTATTTTTTCCGCGCTCATGTTAACAGATTAATAAAGCGTTCACACTGCACACGGTTGCTGTCCGTCAGTGCGTTCAGGAGCGGTGCGTCTGCAGCACTGCAGAGATCGTTTCTGCACCGAGTCTATTTTTGGTGTAAAAAAAGAATTGCAATGCTGAAAAAGCCTTTTCAGTTACAATGTTTGGATTTGAAATCAAAATAATGGATAAATGTTGTTTGTGGTAAACAGCCACGGATCAGTAGCGGACTCCTGTGTGAAAGCACAGTCCGTGCTTCTTCCCCTCTCACAAGAGACACCTAAGAGGGGAATTCCCCCCATTTTCAAAAATGAAATTCAGGCCCTGAATAAATGTCTAAAAATCCTGATTGGAGTATCATTATAAATAGTTATAAATGATAAAAAGAAGGCTTTAAAAGATCGGTATCGGTGATCGGTATCGGCAGATACGGCTTCTATGATCGGCAATCGGTGATCTGCCTCAAAAATCCTGATCGGAGCACCCCTAGTTTTGTTTACAATTGCAGTACAGTGTTACGGTGCATTTCATTACTGAAGACTTCGACCTTAAGATAATATATATAAGGCATTCGTAGAGGTAGGAAAACAAAGTACCTTATGGACCGCAGGATTGCTTGCAATAAAGATTTAAATGCAAAAGGAAAGGCATCGTGATCGGAGCACCCCTAGTTTTGTTTACAATTTCTCGTTCACTTGCAAAAAGGGCAGTGTGAAAGCGAACCGCAACAAACAAAAAAAATCAACATTGCACTTGGTCTGGACCAAAGCAAGTGAACTAGCAGACTTTCTCGGGGTGAATACACCATAAATCTGTATACTTCTAAATGAGGGATCAAGTACATATAATTATTGATTTAAAAAAGTAACGCTAGTAAAGATGTGCACACAAATACGTGTGAATGAAACCCATTGTGTGTGTGTGTGAGCATGAAACTCATCCTCGAGGTTTGAGATATGGTACAGGAGTGGGGAGACATGCAGACGAACACGGTTTTGCCCTGAGGTGTGCACAGGTATGGTGTGTATCAATTTGTAAAGCAATACACGGAAGAAGCGTCTGACAAAGCCCTCATTATGGAGACAGAAGGGGGACATGACTAAACAGGAGAGGCGCCGCTGCAGTTTAAATAACCTTGGTCGATGCCAGGCATTTGGGGCACAATGTAATATGATTTCCGGTGGGAGAAATTAGTATTTTGAAGGATGGCCCGTAGCTACGTGCAAACACAGCTCTGACAGAAACTAAAGCTCTGAGAAGATGTTGTGAACATTGACAGATGATGAGGAAACAGGACAGTTGTGTCTTCTTAAATATCGTGACTTGGATCGTCAGATTAAATATCACTTTTACCTGACATCAGGTTATGAATATGCAGAGCATGATAGGCTTTCAGGTGCTTAGACTGAAAACAGGAAACTGACACATAAAATGTCCGAGACCTTTAGTGATTAAAATTAAAAAATTTATTTTATAATAATATCCATTACAAATTTTTTTTTTTAAATAGAAATTCTTAAACAGAATATTTATAAAAAATATTTCTTCTTTGGCTTCCTTTTTTTTCTGAATAATTCAAAATCTTAAAACTTTCACTTTCCAGGTGTTAAAATGGTCTCAGACTCTATATATGGAAAAATATACCAAACACAATTAGTTAAACAAGATAATGGATCTTTATGGGCTTTTTCTTTTCAATTATTATAAGTATGCACACTACTGTTCAAAAGTTATTAAGATTTTATTATTATTAAGAAAGTTTATTCTCACCAAGGCTGCATTTAATTTAAAAAATACAGTAAAAACAATTATATTATTATATAGTATTACAAATTAAAATAAGAGTTTTTTTTATTTTAATATATTTTTAACTGTAATTTAATCCTGTAATGGCAAGTTGAATATTAAGCAGCCATTACTCCAGACTTCAGTCACATGACCCTTCAGAAATCATTCTAATATGCTGATTTGATGGTTAAGAAACATATCTTATTTATTATTATGAATGTTGAAAACAGTTGTGCTGCTGAATATTTTTGTGAGAATACATTTTTTCAGTATTCAGGATGAATAGAAAGAAAAAGCTGCATTTTTTTTGTAACATTATAAAATGTCTTTACTATCACTTTTGATCATTTTAATGCATCCTTGCTGAATTGAAGTATTATGAAATAATGAAATTAAAAGAAGGTTTGATTGCATGGCTGTGTAGTGTGTGTTCTGTTAGGTGGGACAGTTGTGAAGGTTACCTGAGGTGGTCTCTCTGGAATGGGTTCGTTCTTCAGGGCCTGAAGGGCTTTCATGGCCGCACTGTGTCGGGCAGCTTGGCGAGTCCGCCCCTCTCCGATAAACTCGTTGTTCCCCACTGTCAGTTGCACATAAAATACCTTAGGCACTGGGTAATGGTACCTAGGTTTGGGAGAGGGCCAAGAGACAGAGAAGGAAAGGTTGAGTGAAAGAGAAAAAGGCAGGTAAAAGGGAAAAAAAGCCCTTTGATTTATAAGAGGATTATCTTATCGAAACTTGGCAGTTTTAGATTTGATGGTTAAGAAACATATCTTATTTATTATTATGAATGTTGAAAACAGTTGTGCTGCTGAATATTTTTGTGAGAATACATTTTTTCAGTATTCAGGATGAATAGAAAGAAAAAGCTGCATTTTTTTTGTAACATTATAAAATGTCTTTACTATCACTTTTGATCATTTTAATGCATCCTTGCTGAATTGAAGTATTATGAAATAATGAAATTAAAAGAAGGTTTGATTGCATGGCTGTGTAGTGTGTGTTCTGTTAGGTGGGACAGTTGTGAAGGTTACCTGAGGTGGTCTCTCTGGAATGGGTTCGTTCTTCAGGGCTTGAAGGGCTTTCATGGCCGCATTGTGTCGGGCAGCTTGGCGAGTCCGCCCCTCTCCGATAAACTCGTTGTTCCCCACTGTCAGCTGCACATAAAATACCTTAGGCACTGGGTAATGGTACCTAGGTTTGGGAGAGGGCCAAGAGACAGAGAAGGAAAGGTTGAGTGAAAGAGAAAAAGGCAGGTAAAAGGGAAAAAAAGCCCTTTGATTTATAAGAGGATTATCTTATCGAAACTTGGCAGTTTTATCACTGCACAAACTCTAGAATGGAAACAACAGACACTAAAAAAGCAACCAGGAGATGAACTGAACATGCCGGCTGCTAATTGGAAGGAAGGAATGACAGGGAAAAACATGACTTGTGATGATAGGGAAGCAACAAAATAAATATAAGGATTTGTTTATCAAGTTAAATATATGGTGCATACCATATATTTAATATTAAAATTATATCTTATTTATTAAAATAATATTATATTATAATATTAAATGTATTTATAATATTAAAATATTATATTAATATTTTTATTATAATATTAAAGTAATATTAAAATTACAGCAGATACGATAAACTAATAATTATCAAAATAATTAAAATTCATGTTATTGCCAATGACCAATAAATGGCACAAAAAATTTAAAATTCTATGAATATTAAATTTCATTCTATTTTGTCTAAATAAATAATATTAAAAAAAAGAGTAAAAAGTCAAATAAATTATTTTAAATGTTTCAAAAAGTGAAGTGAATTAAAGTGAATTTAGGCACCATGTTTCTACTTTTAGTATTTAATAAAAAATTTTTTTTTAATACATTTACAAAAAAAAAAACTAAATCTAAAATCTGTTGCAAATGATGAATTTGTGTTAGAAACTTTCATATTTTATTCTTAAACAATATTTATTAGACATATTTCTTCAGCTAACTTTTCTGTTTTAAATAATTCAGAATCCTAAACATTTGTTAATTTCCAGGTTTAAAAAATAACTTTAAATGTGGTCTCAGACTCTGTATATGGATACATATAAATCAATTAGCTAAATGAGAAAACTGATCTTTATAAGTTTGAAGAGTATGTAAAAATGCATATTCAGTATGAAAAATTGACATTTATTTTGTGATTTGCTAAAGATAACATTTAACAGTGTTATTAAATTAATTAATAAAAAAGTGTTTTAAAATGTAACTTTAAGTGAGCAATTGATGACAGCAGAGGCAATCTAAATGTAAAAGTAGGGTAAGTGAGCATTCACAATACCGACCAATACATACTCAATACTCAAAAATAAATAAATAAAAACAGCATGAGATGTGATGCATCCGTCTGAAAGTGTATGACTGTAGTGACAGTGCTTTAAAGGAAGTTCATCTAAACTGTTTGCATTCCAAGTAAAGCACAGCTACTAAACAAATCTAAACTATAGATAAGTGAGTCAACCTCACTAACTGACTAGTCGGTTTTCGGACAGCTAGTTGAGCATCGAGACCCATTCTTACTATGGATGCAGCTGTATCGTACATTATTATGTAGCCCCTTCACTCCGCTGTCACTGAGCTCCAATGAAGTAAGTGTCTAAAGACACAAAGGCTGATGGGAGTGGTGTACAAAGCTTTAAAACAACTAGAGAAAAGACAGATTTATTTCTGAGGCGGAACCCGAACAATATTGGTAGAGTAATAAATGGTGAAATTAAAGGGCCCTTCTTCCATGGGGTCAATGACATAACAATGAGTTGGTGAAATAATGACTCCAATTGGCTCCAAGCGAAGGAGCCCAGAACAAAAGCGGCTTCACATATATCCAGCTTTCTTTATCTTAACTTTGGCTCACCCATGCAGGGCTGTCAGGCCGCTGTTCAGTGGGCAGATTTAAGGGTCTGTTTGCACTTTAAGGCCTTTATGAGGAACGGTACTGACTGACCCAGCATCAGCTCTTCCCCTTCCCTCGTCGGGGAGAACCCATTCACACTCCTCTGCAGCATCTAGGGACCGAACTGTGCTTAAAAAGTAGCTGCTGCTCTCCAAAATCATCAGGCTCTCACGGTTTTAGCTCTTATCAGCAACTAGGGGATTAAAAATACATCAGCAACATTCATGAACAAGGTCAAAATGTGTTGGACGCTTAGAAATGCTTAGAATCAGATGCTGGAACATTTTGGTACATTTTGTTCAAGTCAACTGTTCACAACCCCTTTTACTTCCGTAATTTGATGTATTTCCAAGTGAAACAGGTTATTCAATAGAAAAATGTGGGGCATGACTTGATTTTATCCATCAGAAATACACTACCAAAAAGTTCGGGGTCGGTAAGATTTTTTTATTTTTCTGAAAGAAATCAGTTATGCTCACCAAGGCTGCATTTATGTTTTAAAATGTAATTTATTCCTGTGATGCAAAGCTGTTTTCAGTGTCAGTGTCACATGATCCATCAGAAATAATTATAATATACTGATTTTGTGATTAAGAAACATTTCTTATTTGATAGTATTTCTTATTATCAATGCTGAAAAAAGCTGCTTGATATTTTTGTGGAAACTGAAGTTTTTCAGGAATTTTTGATGAAAGTTCAAAAGAACAGCATTTATTTGATTAATAAATTTTTAAAAATTAATTTTATTTTTAAAATTAATTAATTTTATTTAATTTTTTATTTAATTTGCTGAATAAAAATACTAAATATATTTAAAAAAGCAAACTTTTGAACAGTTGCGTACATCCCATTACAAATGTAAAATGGGTTATGAACATAAAATGTACCAGTTGAAATAGGGCTGAACGATTAATTGCATTAGCGATAATATCACGATATGAAAAAAATGCGATTCAAAAATGTGATTCAGAGATACACTCTGTCACGTGAGAGTAAAGAGATGTGCTCGACTTGAAGATCGATCGGTGTATGACATCAAAGTAGGGCTGCACAATTAATCGAATTTCTAATCGCGATTACAATTATGGATGCCACAATTACGTAATCATTCAAAGCGGCAATTAATCGTTCAAAGTCCACTTATGTTATTCTGTGTGCTTAAGATGCTTTTTTTTCTTTCTACATGTTATCTTAAGGGTTTTTCCATTGTTTTAATTTTAGTTTTAGTATAACACTATAATACCATTTCATATTTATAATTTAAAGAAGAAACCAATCCGATGTATAGTTAAAAATGTAATAATGTATAGTTATAATTTGAGGCTTAATACTATAGAAAAGCACTAAAGGTTTTTCCAGTTAGAGTGTTTTCAGCTGGTTTATTTTCATATAAAAATACGGCATGCAGTTGCATCAAACAATGGGATAAACAAAAACGTGATATTTAGTCCCTGGAGTGCAAATCTTACCAGGGGAACCCCTCCAAAAAACGTGTATTTTACCCCCCCGGAATGCTATTTTTACCGGTGGACCCCCCTCGAAACGCGATTGGGCTAGTTTTGGGCTAGTTTTAAGCAGCAATTGGGTGGGTTTTGTTGTGAAAACCGGCAACCCTGGCACACTACATGCGGAGTAACAGTATTACGGTGCATTTCATTACTGAAGACTTCGACCTTAAGATGATATATAATAAGGTAATATATATATATATATATATATATACAGGGCTCCAGACTGCGACCATTTTTTCTGCCGGTGCGACTAATTTTTGTGAGTGGTCGCACTGGCGCGACCACCACGTTGTCCAATTTATAAGCGCTGCTATTTCTGTTGCACTTGGGAAACATCAAACAGCAAATGAAATGAAAGCTAAACTTAACCGCGCTTTCAGCTTTGCAGCGCGGACCGTTTATCAGTTTATTATTATCTACTTCCAGCACTTTAAAGCTCTAAAATGATCCAGTTTTAAAGTTATTTTTAATGGGATGACCAAAATTATACTTTGTGGTAAACAAATACTTATGTAAAATGAAAAAAAATACATCAAATCACAATTATAACCAGTAGACGGCAGCAGAGGGGCACTTGTTGGCTTATTAGTCATCCATTTCTACTTTTTCTCTATATTTTGAAATTATAAAATCACTATTATAAAATATCAAATCATCAAGAAATCAGATTTTGTCAGAATGTTACACTTTTTTTGTGTATGAAAGGGGTCATATGATGCGATTTCAATTTCTGATCTAAAAAGACAGTAGAAGTCATTATAATCCATAATTATGTCCCCACTGGATGCAATGAATGCCTCGTTTATAATGGGCTTTCATGTTTTTGAATCATCTCCCCGGCCTGACAGGGCATCATCACAATATGATAGGGGCGTAACATTTCTTTAGCAACATCATATGATCCCTTGAAGTAAGAAAAGTCGCAAAGTGCCTTGAAAAACAAACTTTTCTATTTGCTACTAAATCACACATAATCACTGAAGTTGGACAGTTCCATATACTAGAAGAATAATGGTACATTTAATAAGAGTGGAATATATAAATTTTCTATATAAAAATAAGATTTTGCACCTATTACTGTTGTTAATAAATGTAAATTTTGTATGCATCTTAACTCAAGCTTAGTGCTTTACTGTCAAATCTGTATAAACAATAAACAAAAGAAAAATAAACAAGAAATGAACGTAATATATATATATTACTTATTTGTCAGTGCTTTATGTTGTCATAATAATTATTAGCCTACATGCTTACAAGGTTGGAAGTTCAAGAAATCAGTCAATATACTGTGATTGTAGTTGTTAAATAAAAATGTCATTCATATCAATTCATGCATCACCTAATTTCATCGTAAAAAAAAAAAAATTATAATTGCATATTAAATCGCAATCGCAATATTGGTAAAAAGAAATCGCAATTAAATTATTTTCCAAAATCATTCAGCCCTAAGTTGAAAGAGGCCTAAGTTTTATTTCAGCAGAATATAGTTAATTTGAGATGAAACCTTGCAGGCAGAATACAGCATCATTGGCCACTGACTATCCTAAACGCTTTCATGATTGTTTAAACTTGAACAGAGAAAAGTCTAAAACTGAAACAGACATGTGCAGTGTACTGAATTATACTGAACTAAGGGTCATTTGATCTACATATACTTTTCCATAAATGTTCCAGTTACTTAGTTTCAGCTAATAGAGAACTTCCATTTCATTGTAGGGCTCGTGATATTAGATTTGATAC